GGGTATTCTGACACTGCTGGGGGAAATTGACTAATTGCCAACTACATCCACAGTGACACTAATACAGTGATCAATGCTAATAAAAAAGCACTGACACTGTACTAATCACACTGGCCAGGAAGGGGTTAACATCTGGGGCGATCAAAGGGTTAACTGTGTGTTGTTTTACTATGTTGTCTGTGTGTGCTTTACTATGTAAGCACACTGTTTTGTATTGCTTTGCTATGCAGAGCAATACAAAGCAGCATGCTGATGCTGACGGGAGAGATCTGTGTTGTTTACATACAGACCTCTCCCTTGACAGTGTTGCTCGGTGATCGCCGGGTGCCAGCAGGGAAGCTCTGGCCGTGACCCGGTGATCGACAGCTGTAGCTGCGAATGGCAGCGTGCACGCTCCCTACCTGGAAATACAAAATCACATATATATATACGTGATTTTGTGCAGCCCTGCCGCCCTGTAGCAGTAGTTCTGCTATTGGGCAGTTGGGAAGCGGTTAAAAAGGTGAGTTTTAATATGTGAGTATTTAATATTCTAGTATTTAAAGCCTTTATAAAAACAATTGTTATATCAGCAGCTCGCTAATCATACCAATGTTCTGTGAGCTGTAGATCAAAAAAATTTTTCAGAGGTTCCCTGAGATCTCACGCTTCTTTCCAAGGGTTCCTCCAAGGTAAAAAGGTTGATAAACCCTGGTATAAGTTCACAACTATAGTCCCTGCATGCAAGGGTGGCTCCATAGGTTGCTGAAAGAGAAGTCACTGTGAAACAGAAAACCTTGGGCATCGGTCATGGCACCAACATAAACTGGAACCTAGTCAAGAATTAACCACTTGCCCTCCTGAGGATTTACCCCCCTTAATGACCAGGCCTCTTTTTGCTACTCGGCGCTGCACTAATTCAACTGATAATTGCACGGTCATGCAATTCTGCACCCAAACGAAATTTACGTCCTTTTTTTCACACAAATAGAGCTTTCTTTCGGTGGTATTTGATCACCTGTGCGCTTTTTATTTTTCACGCTATAAACAAGAAAAGACCAAAAATTTTGAAGAAAAACAATATTTTTTACTTTCAGCTATAAAAAATATATAGTAAACTCAAAGTTAGTTATAAATTTAGGCAAAAATGTATTCTGCTACATGTTTTTGGTAAAAAAATCCCAATAAGTGTATATTGATTGCTTTGTGTGAAAGTTATAGCGTCTACAAACTATGGTATAGATCAGCAATGGGCAAACTACGCCCGCGGGCCGTATACGGCCCGGCGGACCTTTTAATCCGGCCCGCGGAGCTATGCTCCCGCAAGGCCAGTGGTCGGCAAGCCGCGGCTCTTTACAAACTTAGATGCGTGCGGGGCGCCGCCGCTCCCCTCCCTCCTCTCGGGCGGGCGGGCGGGCGGCCTCTTCTCCTCCTCTCCCCTCCCCTCCTCTCGGATGGCCGCCCCCCCCCTCTCGGATGGCCGCCCCCTCCCTCCCCTCTCGGGCGTCAGGACTCTGCAGCTGTCACGATGTAGGCGGGGCAGCCTGGATGTAGGCGGGGCAGCGTGACGAACTCTTCTCTCACAGTCCTCCCTGAAGACCAGAACGGCGCGGGAATACGAGAGGAACGCGTGGAGCAAAGGTAAGTGAATTGACACAGGGGGGACTTACTATATGGGGGACTTACTATATGGGGGACTTACTATATGGGGGATGAATTACTATATGGGGGACTTACTATATGGGGAATGAATTACTATATGGGGGACTTACTATATGGGGGACTTACTATATGGGGAATGAATTACTATATGGAGGACTTACTATATGGGGAATGAATTACTATATGGGGGACTTACTATATGGGGGACTTACTATATGGGGGACTTACTATATGGGGAATGAATTACTATATGGAGGACTTACTATATGGGGGACTTACTATATGGGGAATGAATTACTATATGGGGGACTTACTATATGGGGAATGAATTACTATATGGGGGACTTACTATATGGGGGATGAATTACTATATGGGGAATGAATTACTATATGGGGGACTTACTATATGGGGAATGAATTACTATATGGAGGACTTACTATATGGGGAATGAATTACTATATGGAGGACTTACTATATGGGGAATGAATTACTATATGGGGGACTTACTATATGGGGAATGAATTACTATATGGGGGACTTACTATATGGGGGATGAATTACTATATGGGGGATGAATTACTATAGGGGGGACTTACTATATGGGGGATGAATTACTATAGGGGGGACTTACTATATGGGGAATGAATTACTATATGGAGGACTTACTATATGGGGAATGAATTACTATATGGGGGACTTACTATATGGGGAATGAATTACTATATGGGGGACTTACTATATGGGGAATGAATTACTATATGGGGGACTTACTATATGGGGGACTTACTATATGGGGAATGAATTACTATATGGGGGACTTACTATATGGGGGATGAATTACTATATGGGGGATGAATTAATATGAAGGATGAATTACTATGTGGGGGATGAATTACTATATGGGGGATGAATTGCTATATGGGGGACGAATTACTATATGGGGGACGAATTACTATATGGGGGACGAATTACTATATGGGGGACGAATTACTATATGGGGGATGAATTACTATGGGGGATGAATTACTATATGGGGGATTAATTACTATGCTTACTATGGGGGAATATTACTATACTTACTATGGATGACACATACACATCATTCATCTACTCTTGGTCCGGCCCCCGGGTCCAATATATGAACCCATTGCGGCCCTCAAGTCAAAAAGTTTGCCCACCCCTGGTATAGATACTGCAATTTACGCCATTTTTTTGCTATACAGCGCTGCACTAGTTTAACGGACAATTGTGCGGTCATGCGATACTGTGCATAAATGAAATTTATGTCCTTTTTTTCCACACAAATAGAGCTTTCTTTCGGTGGTATTTGATCGCTGTGCATTTTTAATTTTTTGCCCTATAAAAAAAAAAAGGCTGACAATTTTGAGAAAAAAAAACAATATTTTGGACTTTTTGCTACAAAAATTAAAAAATCTAATTTCGTCATAAATTTCAGCCAAAATGTATTCTGCGACATGTCTTTGCTAAACAAAAACCCAATACGTGTAAATTAATTGGTTTACGTGAACGTTATAGCGTTTACAAATGGCAGGAAAAATACTGGGATTTTTTTTTATACTAATAATGGCGGCGATCAGCGACTTATGGCAGGACTGTGGCGGACATTCTGACACGGGAGGGGGGGAACTGACTTGGGGTCATTGACATCCCCAGTGACACCAATACAGTGATCAGTTAAAAAAAAAAAAAACACTGACACTGTACTAATGGCACTGGGGAGGAAGGGGTTAACTTTTTTATTTACTGAAAGGGTTAACTGTGTGAGGGGAGTGTTTTACTAGGGGGCGGAGGTGTGTACTGCACGGGGACAGCTGATCGGGAGAGAGAAACTCTTCTCTCTGGCTCAGCATGTCAGGAGCTGATAGGGAACTGACAGAGAGCAGAGCTACTGCAGCCCTGCTCTCTGTGAGTGATTGCCACTAATCGGCGGGACACAGCTGGTAACGACCGACTGTGACCCGGCGACTGACATCCGCGGCCATGATCGGCGGGACAGGTAGGGCGGTGGCGCGCCTTGCGCACGCCCCCTACCTGTTTTTCAAATACACGTTTTAAAACGTGGTTTTGCCCAGCCGTGCCGCCCTACCAACGTGTTTCTACAGTGGCTGGGCGGCATGTGGTTAAAATATAAAGAATCTGCATACTCCTTAAGTGATTAAATCAAATGCAGAAAGTGCTTTTAAAAACCGAGAACTTAATATAAGCTGTGACAAATTATAGACTCAAATCCAACTTGTTTTTCAGGATTATTTTGAGAAAAAAAAACAATATTTTGGACTTTTTGCTACAAAAATTAAAAAATCTAATTTCGTCATAAATTTCAGCCAAAATGTATTCTGCGACATGTCTTTGCTAAACAAAAACCCAATACGTGTAAATTAATTGGTTTACGTGAACGTTATAGCGTTTACAAATGGCAGGAAAAATACTGGGATTTTTTTTTTTATACTAATAATGGCGGCGATCAGCGACTTATGGCAGGACTGCGGCGGACATTCTGACACGGGAGGGGGGGAACTGACTTGGGGTCATTGACATCCCCAGTGACACCAATACAGTGATCAGTTAAAAAAAAAAAAAACACTGACACTGTACTAATGGCACTGGGGAGGAAGGGGTTAACTTTTTTATTTACTGAAAGGGTTAACTGTGTGAGGGGAGTGTTTTACTAGGGGGCGGAGGTGTGTACTGCACGGGGACAGCTGATCGGGAGAGAGAAACTCTTCTCTCTGGCTCAGCATGTCAGGAGCTGATAGGGAACTGACAGAGAGCAGAGCTACTGCAGCCCTGCTCTCTGTGAGTGATTGCCACTAATCGGCGGGACACAGCTGGTAACGACCGACTGTGACCCGGCGACTGACATCCGCGGCCATGATCGGCGGGACAGGTAGGGCGGTGGCGCGCCTTGCGCACGCCCCCTACCTGTTTTTCAAATACACGTTTTAAAACGTGGTTTTGCCCAGCCGTGCCGCCCTACCAACGTGTTTCTACAGTGGCTGGGCGGCATGTGGTTAAAATATAAAGAATCTGCATACTCCTTAAGTGATTAAATCAAATGCAGAAAGTGCTTTTAAAAACCGAGAACTTAATATAAGCTGTGACAAATTATAGACTCAAATCCAACTTGTTTTTCAGGATTATTCCTTTTTCTGTTTGGGAATGTTAGGTCACCAGTGCTAAAGTGTGTCTGAAGGTTTAACACTGTAATGTTAATTAAGTAGAATACGCTATGGCCAACAGCAACACGTTTTGTTAGTTTTTTTGCTGCTACTTTTTATTCTGTGTTTTAATCCCTCATTAGGTTTTTGGTGATTTAGGTTTTCTGTTTCTCTCTTAGCAAACTCCTGTCTTTGTGCTCACCAAGATGGATTACCAGTATTGTTATGGGGTGGAGTCCCTGACCGATAGCGAGAGCTGCCGGCTGTGGACTGAAAGCCTAGTACACTCTAATTGTACACTTTATGTGGGTGAGTAAACTATTTACAATTATACATGGTTTTGGAACACTTGCTTTTAATGGTGGGAAGCTGGACATCAAGTAACTGGACTAATTAAAGCTAAAGTTTAGTTACTTTTTTTAAAGTCAGCACAAGGGACAGTACGTATGTTGTATGAGACATATCCCTTGTGCTGGTGGCTCCTCTTAGTTGAAACCTTTAGTCCCCTGCTCTCCCAAAACCCCACTCCCCAACCCCCAGTGATAATCTTCTGTTGCTGTAGGCGATAAAGCCAAGTTCACCTTTAAGGAAAATAATGCACATATTTTTGCAGGAAACAAATGTGCATTTATTATTTTTTCCCCACAGGAGCCTGCTATGCATTGCACCTGCAATCTGTGGATCATGGGTGCAGTGTCAGGCTCCAGCAGACACATCCTCCAGCTTTCAGTTAGAAAGCTGGAGAAAGTGTCAGTGATCTATGAGTGCAGTGATCTGCGGGGTGGGAGGCTGCTGAAACATGGTTCATGTTACGGATGTACATCTTTAGCCTTTAATACAACCTGTTATAGACACTTGTCCCTTGAGCTACATAGGTTGCTGTCATAAATGGAGGACGTAATACATGATATATATTGTCAGAGATGAAGATAGTTATCCTCCCAAATGCTAAATAAAGAAAGCTGATGTCAGTGATATGAAAAGGCCACCCAAGTTTGTTTAGCATGGTACAATTTTTTAATGAAAGTTCAGGTCACATACTTTGTTTTGCATTTTCTGATTTTCTGTGATATATCAGATACGTATTTGTAGAACCTGACTGGGTTGTGTTGAATGTCTGGGCTTGGATGTTACAAATTGCAAAACCCGCAAAAGTACAATAAAAATGATCTGTTTAAAAAAATGTTGAGTTAGGGCTCTTGTACACCCTGTTCCAAATTATTATGCAAATTATATTTTTCTCATTTACCTAAATTATTTATGTAAATAACAGTCAGCATAATTCTCATGTTATCAACTATTAAGAGTACAATTCAAATTTTATTAAACAAACCTCCTAATGATAACAGTATTTTTTTAAACATAACAAACTTACAATGCACTGTTCCAAATTATTACGCACAGTAAGTTTCAAAACACTTTATAGGTTGTAAATGTGGCGGAACCGTTCCGCTTGGGCTTCCTCGTGTGGAGCAGTGCGTCTCACCCAATGGTCCCCTTTTCCGGCAAGTCTTTCAGCACTCTCTCAAGGCAGGTATTATAGCTAAAAACACTCCCTTCCCTGCTCTCCCAAACCACGAGTCGGAACTTCGTGTAGGGTGAAAATGAATGACTCTTTATTAAACACAGCTCAGTATATACAACGTCACCCCCCACCTTCACCAGACAGCCTGGCACTGGGTTTTCCCCACCCACAACAAACCCTACAATACAACAATACAGTAGGAACTCTATTAGAAGTGAAAGACTACAAGGTCACATTTCCCTAAACAAACAGTGTAGAATGTCTGTGAAACATATACTGCTTTACAAAGGGGATAAAACCAGAACAGAAAGGGCAAAATGTTATGAAAAAAGGGACGGTTCGTTACAAGGCTCCCCCGTTGTGTAACACCCGGCGAGAACTTCAAACGGGTCCGCTTGGGGCTGGTCGGTTCAGAGGGTTACTTCTCCAACTCGGCTTGCTGGGACAACCCATCCGTGTTGGCGTTTTGCTTCCCCGATCGGTACTGGATTGTAAAGTTATAGGGTTGGAGGGCCAACCTCCACCGCAGCAGACGACCATTGACCCCAGAGACCTGGTTTAGCCATACCAGGGGGTTGTGATCGGTGAGTACAGTGCAGGTTGAGTACAGGTAGGGCTGCAATTTCTTGAGGGCCCATACCAAGGCAAGACACTCTTACTCCACAGCAGCGTAGGCCACCTCCCGGGGTAACAACTTTCTACTTAGGTAGGCCACTGGATGGTCGTTCCTGTCGTCCCTGATTTGGCTCAGAACAGTGCCCAATCCAAAGGTGGAGGCATCGGTGTGAACACAAAACCGGTTGGAAAGGTCAGGAGCAGCCAAAGCGGGAGCATGGATCAGATCATGTTTGAGCTTTTGGAAAGCCGTTTCACACTCTGGGGACCGCACAACCTGTCGGGGCAGATTCTTCTGGGTCAGATCAGTTAGGGGTTTAGCAATGGCACTGTAGTTGGGGATGAATTTACGGTAGTACCCTGCAGTGCCTAAGAAGGCAAGGACCTTAGTCTTGGTTTGGGGAGTGGGCCAATTTGCTACCGCTTCCACCTTTGCCAGTGCCGGTCTTTGCTTCCCAATTCCTACCCGATGTCATAGATATTGGACCTCAGACACCCCAACATGGCTATCCTCTATCCCCAGCGCCAGCATCTTAAGTGTGGGCACCCGGCTGTGACAGCTTGCGGCTTCCGCTTCCGATCACCTACCTGGTCAGAGCAGAAGTGAGAGCGGGTACCTTTCAAAATCGGGTACCCGCTCCCCAAAGATGCCAATCCTTAACAGGGAGCTGGTGACAAGCCCTTAAAGCGGAACTTTCCCCTCTGGGTGGAGCTCCGCTTTAAGACACTTAAAAGTCTGTTCCGAAAGTATGTCCCAATTGTTTTCTTTTCCAAATGGGATCAGATTAACTGCCCTTTTTTCATTGTAATATTTGGGGATGTTTAGCTTCGTGGTAGATTCGTTTTCAAGTGAGTTCACATCAGTCAGGAACTACTTTCAGGGCTTGGTAGCCCACTTTTATTAAAAAGGAAAGGCAAAACAAAAGTCAAACATAAGGTTTCCCATGCAGGGGTTTTTCTCCAGTAAAATACAGTCCAAATGAAAATACTAGCCCACCTGGCTACTCTTCAGCAGCACTGCTGTTATAGATACTGGTCCTTCTGACCTCCAGCTCTTTCAGGCGCACAGCTTAGAGCTTCTCAGACGCACACGACTCCTCTGGCCAAGTCCTCAGGCTGTTAACTTGGACGCACACAGCTCTTCAGGCCATTAACTTGGACACACACAGCTCCTCTTGCCGTTAACTGTCTCTTGCAGACATTCATACTCCGGCTGCCACCTGTAGCCTCTGTGACTCTTGTGGGAGACCTTCTCTCTCTCTCTCTTGGGTGGAGCCCTGAGGTATTCCTAAACCTCCATTATAAGTGCCGTGTGCACCTGGGCACACCGTGCTGTTACTCCACAAAACCCGGACACTGGGTTGGAGATTCCTGCCCAAGGCACTATGGAATCTCCAAAGTAGGGAGCCCCATCCAGGACTACCAAAACCTGGAGAAAGCTGCAAAACCAGTTTTCTCCAATCAGAACATCTGCTCCCTAGTCCTGCACTCAGCAAAAGTTCAAACCCTGTGTCCTTTTGAGTTCAAACCCTGTGTCCTTTTGAGTTCAAACCCTGTGTCCTTTTGAGTTCAAACCCTGTGTTCTTTTGCTGACCACTTACTCAGTGACAGAACCTCGTACTGTCACACCATGCATTTAAAAATAATATCCAATCTTAAAATTAAAGGCGGGGAATTCTGTCAGGCTGCTGAACAGTATCCCCTACACCAGGGGTGTCCAACTTGCGGCCCAAAATGGCTATGAATTAAGCCCAACACAAAATTGTGCACATAATTAAAATTTTTTAGGGGGGATAAGTTTAATCTTCCCAAAGAAAAAAATCCCACTCTTCACAATCACTCCTTATTCATGTCATCAGTTTTTGTTAGCACCTGTATTTGTGTGCAACTATTTTTCAGGATGAAGCACATGAAGGGCAAAAGTTTTATTACTCAGATAGGTACATTATCTATATCAATGATCGTTAACTTCTGATCTGCCCAATTGTTTTCTGCTCGTCAGCTATCATAGTTACATAGTTGGTAAGGTTTAATAAACACACCGGTCCTTCCCATTCAACCTGTGTTGTGTGTATGTGTGTGTGCTTGTGTGTTTATGCCAGTACCATTTCCTTTATCCCTGTGTGTTGCATTTGCTAAGATGCCCATCTAAGAGTTTTTGAAACTATTGACACTTCCTGATGACACCACTGATTGTGGGAGGGAGTTCCACATTCTTACCGCTTGAACAGTAAAGAACCCCCTACGCAGTTTAAGGTTGAACCACTTCTCCAGTTTCATTGAGTGGCCTTGTGTCTTCTTAAGCTCCCTATCCTTATTGTCAATGTGTTTTTATGTGTGGCCCAAGACATTTCCTCTTCTTCTAATATGACACAGGAAAGTAAAAGGATTGTGGACACCCCTGGTCTACACCTTTTGTTTACATTTAGCTTTCCACTGGGTAATCTCCTGGCTGACAGCTGAATGGGGCTGGGGAAAGAACCCTGTGCGGAAAGTCATATACAGCTGCCCAGCACAGATATGTCCCACCTGAACACTGGCATACCTGAGCACGGATATGTAGTATCTAATGGAGCCTGACACATGAATTAATATTACTTTTGCAGTGGTAGACTGTTGTGATTTATGTTGTGTTATTGGCAGATACAATGTCATTTATGACATAGTCCTTGAGTAAATTTTATGTTTTATCCATGTGTGTACCCCAAAACTGTTTTGTTTTTTTTTTAATACGTTCTCATGTACCATTGTAATGGAGTTAACCGTAAAGTGGAGTTCCACTCACCCTGTCAAAAAATAAGTCAGCAGCTACAAAAACTGTAGATGCTGACTTTTAAAAAACAGCCACTAACCTGTCCCTCTCTCTTGCGGTGTGTCCCCCGCAGCCCGTTTCACCGGCCGTCCTATATTCCAGTAGGCCGGCATCTTTAGTGTGGGCACCCAGTAGCGCTGCGCTTCATGAATGGTCCTCTAGTCTTCTGGGACCTGTCACGTGTCCCAAAAAACTACAGGGAGGGAGGGAGGGAGGACACCTTCCGCTGATCGGACCTGAAGTGGGAGCGGGTACCTTTTAAATTCGGATACCTGCTTCCCCCCTCCCCCCGCCCCCCAAAGGTGCCAATCCTTAATGGGGAGCGGGGGAGCAGTCCTTAAAGTGGAACTTCCCCTT